AATTTTACCTAAGTCGCTCTCTCTCTCTCTCTCTCTCTTCTTCTTTCTCTCTCTCTCTCTTTCTCTCTCCCTCCTCTCTTTCCTCTCTCGAGCCAACCGTATCGCCACCGTTCGTTCCCGGGGGCTGAACCAATCGAGAGAGAACCGGGTAGGTCCCACTCACCGGGTAGATCGGCCGTTGCCTCTGCTGGTAGTTCTGCTGTTTCATGAGACCGTCGATCTCCCCTCTGTACAGATTCGGGTCATCCTCCGCGTAAGCGTCCGGATGCCTGGGCGGTTGTTGGACCTGATGGGATGACGCTAGGTGGGGCGTCGGAAGGCTTCTCGAGTGTGGCGAAACGGACATGTCCACTCCGCTATCGCTCGTCGGCAGTCGACGCCCTGGGCCCTGTAATCGCCACCAGAAAACTGCCATTTTTTTCGAAATTCCCAGGCAATCTCGCCCCGGTTCGATATATATTATTCGCCGCGTGTCGGGTTGCAGTGGTTGGGTGGATGCAAACAACAGTGCGTTACATTGTTGCGTTCTTGTTTTCTTGTTCATATCAGCATGTGGTTGAGAATATATATGCGGTTGACGCCGCTGCGTCTCTCGACGACTCGTCTCTGTGAACGAGTTTCCTCTAAAATCGTGAGAATTATCGTGATCGAAGTCGTCAAGGGACGCAGCAGTAGCAATGGTTGGTGACAATGAGCGCAGTGACAGATGGTGACAGATATATATATATATATAAAAACGTATAAAAAATCAATTGCATTGCCTTGCTTCGACCTCGAATTCGCTTAGCTATGTGTTTTTAGCGATTGTTGTTGTAATTGTTGTTGCATATATATATATTATTTTTTAAAATATTGTTGTTGTTGTTGTAGTAGTAGTAGTAGTAGTAGTAGTATATCCAGAGCAACAGTGCGTGCACGAGCGCTATTTAACGACCGTGGAGAGCAATTTAATCCCCGTGGTCAAACAAGTAAAGTGAATGGAAGTAAATCGTACTTGCTCTTGCTGAGAGTACTGCCTTCTGAGCAAACTTCCGCTGCTTAGTAACAATGGCAAATTCTCCTTTTCGGCCGCGCTGTGCGCTCTCTCGAGTTTCGGTCTTTTATCCTGAGTTTGGTCCACGAGTCCCGGAGGACCACCCACCTGCATGTCCTGCATTCGTCGCACCATCGCGTTGTCCCCGGCGGCCAGGCCCGTCTTCGTTATCCATTGCCCGGTCTTTGACAGCAACTCTTGCTTCTTGCGACAAAGGATGCACACCCATATTACCTGCAAATCAAATGGAATGGAATTCGTCACGTTGTGCCTGTCCCATTTCGTCCCTAATCGTTCAAACGTGCATCAAGCGAGTCGTTGGAATTTCAGAAATTTCAAAGTTCTTTCGATCGACAGGGTAATTAAAATTAATCCGTAGCGGCGCGAAAAAAAGAAGAGATAATTCGAGCAAGAGAGAGAGAGAAGGGCGCGGAGAGGGAAAGAGTCCTGATCGATCCAGGTCACCGCTTGTAGCGAGGATATTAATAGGAAATTATCTATAGGAAGTCGATGCTAATTGAAACGTGTAAGCGGATGACGCGAGTTTCAATTCGATTCGAGTTCTTAAAAAAGTGGAGGGGGGGCAGGAGAGCGGACGAGTGGAATAGATTTGCACCGTCTTCGAGCTCGAAGCGACACCCTTTTTACGAGCTCGCATTATTTGTCGAGCTCGAGCAACGGCGTTAAAAATACACGACAGCCGGAGGGGACAAGCGAAGCCGCGAACCTTCGTCGTAGTCTAGTAATATACAATCCGTCATATTCGGCTCCAGTTTTCGGCGGCGATTCTCGAGGAAAAGTGAGAGAGAGAGAGAGAGAGAGAGAGAGAGAGAGAGAATATATA